GGCCTCAATTTTAGTCCGATTTCAACAATTTTCAACGGTTTGCTTTTATGTGGCAAGCACAATAACCATACCGAGCTTGGTACAAATTGCTAGAACGGTTAGCGAGATGACGGACGGACAGACAGTCACCGCTTAATCGATTTCTCTTTTCATTCTGATCATTTATGTATACATTTGTCTATATCTATCTCGATTCGTTTTGCCTGTTACAAACAACCGTTATGTGAACAAAGTTATAATACCCTTGTGCACAAGTGCGCTCGGGTATAAAAATGGGGGGTATATTTTTATCGGTATAGAATAATCCTAGGGGGTGAGAGCATAAAAATTCCCACTTTACTTTTGCACATACACTTTTGGTCCACCCCAATGTTGCCAATATGCATACATATTAAACTATATTAGAACTTTCGTACGTTCTGCAGAAAGCTTATGAAAGAAACATGCAAGCGGTCTCTGTTACTACTACAGTTGAAAGCTGCTTTTCATAAACTTTATTTCGATAGCGAAATCGTAGAAATTATGGCTAACACGGTCCTAATTATTTATGATAGAGTATGTACATATGTATGTGCAGAGGAAAACGATATCCTTTAATTACGGGAAATGCTTTTAATATTGTCTGTTAAAGTGGTCGAAATATTATAATACAAACATAAGTGTTATATTAGTTAAGCGTAAGTATGCATTGTGCATTTCTTTAAAAAAGAGTCGCCTTATAGCAAGTGATTGGAATGTTTTATAGGAATTTTGACATACATTCATGCGAATTTTAATCTGCTTCAAATAATCTACAAGCCGGATGATGTTAAGACAGAGCACGTTTATAAATTTTTTTATAATTTTTATTTTTATATATAATAATTTATAAACGTGCTCTGGTTAAGACGTGTCGCACAGTGATATTTAGTCCCCAATTCGTGCCCAAAAATACAAAAATAAACTATCGATTTTGGGGTTGTATTTCCTTGGGTTTATTTAAAATGATGTTTCAGCTATCGAAATATGTCCAAGACAGGTTCCGACCTTTTGCACCTGTGTGAAAGTGTTAGTTGACGCAGCGCTCTCAAAAGTAAAAATGTAATGCTAAAGTTTAAAAGAACGCCAAAAGCCATAGGGCGATCAATTTCACTTTTGTAAAATGGGTTTTTCTTCTACAAGTCAGTTCTATATAAGGTTTACTTAAACATTTTTTTAATATGGTCAGCTCATTAGTATTTAATGTGAAGTATTCTAGTGAATTTTTAAATAAAAACAGTTTGAAGGAAATGTCTTAAGTCATTTTCTCACGATTTCATCAATAAAAAATTCTTGTTTATTTCAAGATAATTGTATTTTAAACTATAATACTAAATATAGAATCCGACCGTGTCTAACGTTTTGTTTAAGACGCGGTTTTTATTTAAGAATTTTAAATACAAACGAAAAAAAAACAAATATAACTCAACTTTACTTGGATTTAACAAATATTTGTCAAATTCAACACATTTCGTTTAACCTCAGGCGCCATATTGGATCGGTCATTTTGTTTTAGTTGTTTAGTTTAGTAACAAGACGTGGTAAGCGTCGTAAAATCTTAAGCTTAAACTTTTTTTTTGTTAAATAAAGGTTTAAATGGCTTTAAAGGGTTTTTAACTACACAGAAATGTTTATAAACCGGTAAAAAATATATAACTAGTACCCCCTAATAACATTTTAAACGATATTTTACATACAAAATGAAAAGCTTAAGATTTTACGACGGTTAACACATCTTGTGAATCCCCTAATTGAAATAAAACAGAAAAGATTGTAAAAGGAAAAACGCCATTTTTACTTAATACATTTTATTAAGAGATTGGCCGAGATTCTACTAGAATCTGCACAAATGGACGCACTCACAGTTTACGCCGCTTTCGAATGCCAGATGGCAGATGGTATTTTATAAGAACTTTTTTCATGGCCGAGAGACAACCGCTTTTAGAAAACATTTTTTTTTTTATGGTGGTCGGACTCGGCATTGAACCTGGTTTTTACCGCTTTTTTGAAGGTATCTTTATCGAAATCGTTCGGACTTTCTGTTTTTTTTCGCAAATTAATAGGTTCAATGGTAATTTTCAATCTTGCCGGAAATTTTACACACAAAGAAAAAATATACTCACAAAAATAGAAGCCAAATATAGTTACGGTGACCAGAGTTCTGTGGCCAAAAATCGGAGCATTTCTAAAGCATCACATCCGAACCTACAATTTTGTTTTTAGAATAAAAAACCTAACATCTTTTAATGTATACACACAGTATATACAGTGGCGAGAATGTAAATAGGGAAGACATTTTAGCAAGTTTTGGCTACTTTTTTTTTTGTTTAAAAAATGTTTATTATTTTTGTATGACAATATAACTAACTATCTAAAGAAAAAATATATAAATCAAAATTTCTAACTATTTTAAACATTGTAATCAGATTTTCTAGAATTTGTTTTTTCGAGTACATATGTACTTTTAGCTCGTTAAATTGTAGTGCAAGTTTGAAGTAGCTTGAACTTACCGTTGATTTTTGGCAATTTTTTGTTCTCGCACACTCTTCGATAAAAAATATGTTGAACAATTTTTTGTATAGAGAAAATGAGCAGCAGTCCTGTACTGTAAAAAATAAGAGCCGGTAGACTGTTGCCCTTTATAAATTTCACAATATTGTTATTTGTTTTTTTTTGTTTAGTGACATACTTATGACCAGAATATCTGCTTTTTCGAGATGAACTATCCAATACGTAATTAAGAAAACAAAATTTCTACCTTGAAAAAATATAACTTTTCCATTTGCAATCCTAATTTATCGATTATTTTTGGTAAATAGAGGAGAAACGTCAAAAACAATGAACGCCGCACAGTGGGGCAAAAAAGGTTGCTGTGGACAAATGAACTGCGAGCGCCCAATAATGAAACGATTTCAAGTTTATTTTTTTTTAAATAAAAGATAATTAAATTTCGCGTCGATCTACCAGTGGCGATTTTTTAAAAAAGCTCTGGTTTTATATTTATTGATGATGAAAAATGAAAGAAAAAAAATTTTCACGTTTGAATGCTTCCACTTTTTTGGAAAAGACTTGAAATTAATTTCAAATGCCTGCAATTATTTAAAAAACTATTCATAAACATTTTTCCATAGGAAACATTTAATTAAAAAATATTTTTAATTTGCCATCCATACTGATATATATATTTTAAACGCCTTTTTTTCGAAAAACTCGAGAACAGCTGTACCGATATTATTGAAATTTTGGACATCGACTCTAGACCCTCGAAGGATGATAATAGAAGAAGAATAATTTCGATTTATCAATTGGTGGGGCACATTAGAATGTGTATGTGGTGTGAGCAATTCAGTTCGTATGGGAGGTGTCACGTCCCCTTTTTCAATAACTACCATTATTTTCATGAGTTTGGCGTTGATATTATATATCTCTGTACTAAGTTGCAGCACTCTACGATGAATACTTCCAGAGATATGTTGTGTAAAAACTTCAGTTTCTATGGGAGGTGCCACGCCCCCTTGATAGATCGAAATTATTTTTCTTCTATTATCATCCTTTGAGGGTCTAAAGTCGATGTTCAAAATTTCAATAATATCGGCACAGCTCTTCTCGAGTTTTTCAATTAGAAAAAAGCGAAAAAATGGCTTTCAAAATAGTATATATTAGTATAGATAACGACCTCGGATTTTCTCTGTCACGTAAAATCTGAGATGTTATTTGAGATTAGAAAAAAATCCAGACGTGATGGAGCAAAACTGACTTCAGATTCGTGTTCAGCGACCCCAAAAACATATAACAGACTAGGTTTGGTCAAAAGAACCTTTCATCGATTTTTTCTTTTTTGTGGACTAGTGTAACCTCTCCTCGTTTCTTTTCCTTAAATGTGTTTTGTGCACGCACGTAGAGCTTTTTTGCAATTTTGTCATATTTGATATTTCAAACTCTCATGTTCATCCAATTTGACTGCAATTATCTACTTTTTAATAATTTCCACAGATTTTATGCAAGAAATACTAATTTTTAAGTAATTTTAATGCAAATATTAAATTTTTCAGTAATTTTTCCCTATAAAATGTAAACAAACAAAAAAAGAAGTAACTCACTTCGAATTCAATAATAAAAAACAATTTGTTTTTTTCCAACTAAAATATAAATTAAATACATTTATTACAAAAAAATTTGAGTATTTGCCATTTGTTCGATTATTAGGAATGATTTTTGGTTGAAGCGCTTTTAAACCTCATTTACATCGAAGATTTCGTTGCTTTCCTCAACTCGCTTCTTTACCTCTTCGTACGAGGGGGTCGCCTATTACGGAAGAAATGTATGTAGATAAAAAAATTAATAAACAAAATCTTTGTTGGGAAGTAATATTTATTTAAAATAATGCGTTGTTAGTGTAAATTTTGTTGAAACTCTTTATTACATACATACATATGTGTGTCTGAAATAAGTTTAAATATTTAGTATGAATTTTGTTAAAGTCTATTTATTTGTGTGTCATTAGTAGATTGAAGATACAGTTGTTTAAGTTAATGAATACTAGAATGGGAAATGTTGAGATACAAGTAATGTGCAGATGTATGCGTATATGTATATGTGTGTATGTTTGTCTACTGAGACATGCTCAAACTCAAAGAAGTCCTTGCTAAGTCAAGAGGAAATAATACAAAACAAAAAATAATTACCACTAGATACTAAACATCACTAAATACTTGTGCCTTTCTACTCTTACTGACCTGCCAGTAGTCATTTTCCCATGTGGGAAACATTCGTGTAAATACGCGTGGTTCATTGCCCTGTACAATGCGCACCACCGTGATTGTGTCAATTGTGCGCTCAGTGGGCTCATCTTTGATATATTTCTAAACATGTATTTATGCAAAAATATATTAAAGTCTAAAAATTGGCACTAATTCATGCGCAAGACGAACCTCAACCAATTCAAGCAGCCTGCCATTCTCTTCTGCCGAAGCAGCTGCTCCCACCCACATATAGATCTCATCGCCAGCATCCAATAGCATTATATCATTCGAGTCGAGATCCTGTAAAATCATCACCAAGAAAGACATCATTGAGTAAATATTTCACTTCGCAACTCAGTGCAAACCCACAGCTTGTTCGAAGTGCGCAACTTCCTCGACCTGTAAGCGCTTGCCGTCCAAATGGCAGTGGAATAGTCTTGGCTCCAATAGCGGTTTAGTGACATCACCCATGCTACGATCGTAAATGCCCTCGCCATGCAAAAACTCCCAGAAGTCATCCGACTCAGCGCCTTCCTCAACCACTTCGACTGCGGCATCGGACCAGTAGTGCGCAAATCTCTCCGTTGCCATATCCTTCTCGAATTTGACTGGCGCCCTGCAAAGTTTCAGTTATAATTGAAAGAAAAATATATAAAAAATCATACATTTCAATTAATATCTATGTATGTACTTACCAAACCAACCCATATAGTAGACCTTATGCTCTTCGGCAGTGACTAAGGCGAAAACATCTTTTGACGCCAATGACGATGAATCCGCTGGCACCTCGCTGGCATGCACATCACTGGCGATCTGTGCCACGAATGCGATATAGCTGAGAATGATGGGTATAGCGGTGTAAGATGTAAGCAGTCTCCCTTTGAACATCTTCAGGAAGTGACGTGGCTCATGATTTTGTGTTGTGCGCACTAAAATTGCATCGCGTTCCACAGCCAATGCCATAGCGTCTTCGAATGCTCGCTCCTTTGCTGCATTGTTAGCTTTCGTGCCCTCCCACACATAGACAATAACTCCGGACTCACCGTTCTTGTTGTTGTAGTTGTAGGTGATTACATAACTTGCAAATCCCAGAGTGGCATATTGGGCTCCAATTGCACTACGTTACGCAATGTATCCGCACGGCCATGTCTATTTACATATTGCACCACATCCTCGATATTATTCTCTCCATTGTCTGGCATAAAGCCAAAGGCATGACCGCCGCTCTTTTTCAAGTCTCTCCACATCGATGAGATCTGATACATCCGAGTCGTCGGAGTCATAACCCATTGCTGAGCGTACTAAACGGGTGTGTGACATTCCTGCATCACGCCAAGTTGCGAAATATTGCTTGAACGGCGCCGATTCAGCGCCCTCGACCACACGATGTACCTGCGTCCAAGCTGGGTATTTTTTGGTACGTAAAAACTCTTGTGCCTTATTCATGGCATCCGTTTTCTCTCGTTGTGTTGCACGGCGACCCACCCAAACATAGATGCCGGAGCCGGTGTCCAGAATAAAGCAATCATTTGTATCTAACATTTCTTGACGCAATGGCTTCGTGGAGATGGTGTCGATTTTCAGGCCACCTTTGGCATCTGAGACCTTGTATAGTGAGACTGAATTGGCATCAGCAGTCTCAAATGCGCCATCCTCTTGCTCAGAGGACTCATCCGGTACTTGGCCGGGTGAGCCAGAGCCCAAAACACCAAAAAAGTGCTGTTTATCCACATCCGAACTGAACTCATCTAGAGATAAAAAAATGTTAAAAATTTGAAGAGTGACTTTAAAACAACGTTGGGCAGAGAGGGATTTTACTCCGCTCGTGCCTATATAAATTGTATAGAAAGCTTAAAAGAGCTTTGCCAGCGGGCAAGGCAGTGCCCATCAGTGTTTAAAAAGGTTTGACTTTGTATTAAAAAATAATACGATTGCCTTGAAAAATCGTATGCATATTTTATTAAGCTTCTATTAAAAAGAAAATTCTGGCATACCAAATTCTGAAATAGGGCGTTCTTGAAAAGATTTCTTAGTAAACCATATCTTCATATAGAAATTATAAAAATTTAAAAATAAATAGTCAAAACTTTTCAATGACCTTATGTCGGACATTATGCGTTTACTAAAAGACTACCTCAGTTTTGAAGTTTTCAATTGTCCGTCACTATGCAAGATTTTTGCTTGATTTTTTTACACAATGGGCTTTTTTTACGTCTCTGCGCAGGTCTCGGGCCAACGAGGGTAAAAACGAAATGCACTCACAAAAGAGAAGACTCCCGCAACAGTAATTAGGTAATATAACAAAGTAATTCTGCATTAGTATCTCAAAAATGGCGTTTTTTGAATTGTTGCATTCTTTTAGCAAATGACCGATGTATTCATTTGTTTAATAGTAAATACATGTGTACCTAGTACTCATACTCACCAATTATATCAACCCTGGCACGTCCGTTGTGATCTTGATCGCGAATTTGATTAGCAGCGCTGATCGCTTTCAGCTTCTCCACTCGTTTTGCTTGCGGTCCCACATATAAGAGTATCTCATTGCCAGCATCTAAAATGAAGCAATCGCCTTTGTTCATCGACGAAACGGATAGATTCACCTGACGGACACGCACGTTACGCTTGCCCTTCACCTGAAAGAGACGCTTCTCGCCAGCTGCATTTGTTTGAACGTGCTTGAAACCGCTACCCACACCGCCTTGCTCGTAGCGAACACCTGAATGGAACACAAAAAGATACATAGTACATATAATAGCGATAACATTACGGGAAAAGCATATATTAGGGTGGTCTAAAAATGTATGTGAAAAAGTAGAGTCGGGGATTGTCCTATATCGAAAAATTATACCCCTATTTTTTATTTTGAAATCAAAACATATTTAGAGTTCGCTCAAAGCGTACTTTATATGGGGAACAACAACTTTTCGTAGACTGGTATTGAATTCTTGAAAACAACTTTGAACTCTTTGAGCGACTTTCTTTTCAAAATAAGAAATAAGGGTATATTTTTTCGATATAGCGCAATCCTAAGGGTGAGAGCATTAAAATACCGGCTTTACTATACTGCTCCACACCGCCTACCAAATTGAAACGACTTTTTGTTCGTGTGGTTTTTAAAATTTGTGATGTGGGCTCCAGTAGCTTCATCAATATTTAGTGAGTTTGTACGTAGTTCACGCAAGTATTTACGTTCTATGGTATGAAATAAATCTACTAATAACCGCAGGGAATTTCCTGCATTCGCCAGGTTTTGTCCTTGTTCCACAAACGCATGCATACATATCTATATACGTATTTATTAGGGTGTTCGATTATTCGACTTTATTCCAAAACCGGATTTCGAGTTATTCGAAACAGGAAATTTGAAAAATAATGATTCCCAATTTTTTTAGTTCTAAAACCCCTATTGGCCCGGTTATTTGTTTTTAAATTTTCGTTTTCTATGAACATATTTTTTAATGCGTATTTATTTTTATTTGATTGATTATTAATGTTTATTTATAAAAATTGGAGCAACAAAAAATATGAAAAAAGTAAATGAACGGAATTCCTCCAAATCTTATTAAACAACACGTGTATGAAATTTTCAAAGTATGCGTATTTTTTCTTTACGGGATATTATCATTCAAACTTAGTTCTGCAGGCAAAACTTCTTTGATATTTAGATTTTTGAATACATTTTAGATTTATTTCAAAATACGCTTAAAAAAATTAACAATATATTGAATTTACAGCGAGATGCAGTTGCATAAACATAGTAGAAGAAAAACTGGATTATTCGATAACAAAACTCCCGTTTACTCGATATTCGAAAATTCAGGATTTCAAAAAAAAAACACTCAACAACTTTGGAAAAATCCGGTAAAAACCGATTTGGAAAACCGATTTGGAAAAATCGAATCAATCACCCTAATGCATATGCACTTGTAGATGCTATATCTCAGTGCAATCCTTGAGTGTTCACTTGACAAATTTACGCTGTACTGAACTCACCATTTCTAAAGTAACTGAGAAATAGCTGTGATTCGTGATCCTGAACTTCACGGTGTTGCACCGGTGCACCATTAAGCAGGTCATCCAGCTGCACAGCATAGATGGCAGCAGCGCCAGCCTCGTCGGTCGACGTATCCGAACCAAGCCAAAAGTGAATATCCCAGGAGAGTTTCTTATCTTTGCGTTCGATTGTCTGCCAAATGAAGAAGAATTTGCAAAATAAAATGAGAATAGAAACGAATAAAGGAAAAGTTAGCAGAGATTATTGTAGATATGTATCTACATATGTATGTAACGAAAATGAAGGTGGAAATGTAGGGAAGTTATGCAAGTGTATTTTTTCCCAACTACCGAACGAGGAATCAATTTTAAAGCTCCATACTTTGACTTTTATTGCTCTGAAGGTTTGGTAAGGTTGGTATAAAAATATGGCTATAGTTAAGAGGTTCAGTTAGGAGCAGCACAGTTCCATCATGATGTCCAGGAACGGATTTTTCTGGAATTCTTCGCACTTGTCTTTAAACCATCCTGTTTTTCTGGTGAATCCTAACAGACGCTAAACTATATTAAAAGTTCCCCTAAATTTTCTAAGGCTATGTTTGCTTGAATCGATACTATGCTATGCTATGTATTTTGTAGCAACATCATCGCTTTCCAAAAGAAAGTATATGTATCAGTTGTGTGCTGCTATGCCAAGGCCGATGTTCAGCATTGCTTTATGGGCAGAAGCAGTCACTACGAAGTTAATTTAGAAATCTCGTATGATTACAGCCGATCCAGGAGTAGAAATTTCTCTACCACGTATGACAGGTAAACAAAAAAAACAAAAAAGAAGTAACTCCCCATCGGTCAATGAAAATAAGTACTGGCGATGATCTATAATAGCACCGTATCTGGATTCACTAACGGCATCTTTACAACTACACTTTTCCAATAACAATATGACTCTAGCTCTTGAGGACTATGAGGGTTCGGGGCTCGGATCATCATCGCAATCATCATTATAATCAGAATGTGGGTCACACGTGATGTCCATACATATGTAGCCAAAAAAGTACATGTCTTCGGACTTAAGATTTCAAAACATTGAAAATGGCGGGTTACGTGCCTTAGCCATCAAATTATTTTACCAGGTAAATACTCTTATGAGGCCGCTGTGACTGAGTGGTAAGAGGTGCGTACTACCTGAGTTCGATACCTGGTCCAATCAACATCTGAATTTAAAAAAAAGTTTGATCTAGCAGCGGTCGCCTCAACGGGGGGTAACGGGATCCACGGCACTAAATTCAAATGGGTCCGGACGGGGCGGTATAAAGAAGGTCATTACGGGACGGGAACAAAATCCTTTCCCGATGAAACGTACGTGGTACAAATTTGAAAAATGATTGGATATGCGTATTTGGGACCTAAAAATTGTCGACATAGGCGGGATCGAGATTGAATATTTAGTCCTCCATTCTTCTCTAGTTTAAATCAATTGATATGCGTTTAGCTTTGTCATTGGCGTGGGGATAGGGTTGTTAGTTTTAGTTTTGAGACAGCGGTTTTCATCCAAAGTTGAAGTTTCGTAGATTCACATAGAAAAAATAGTAAAGAAGTCTAAGCTCGGGCGAAGGTGGTGCCTACTCCGTTTTCCAAAAATTTTACAAAAATAAATTTTTTGGCAATAGGAATTAGCAGCTTTGCATAGTGAAATACTGCAGCTTTAGCATTTTTCAAAATTTGCGTATATTTATGAGGGGTGAGGGGTGATGTTGTCCAATTTCAAAAATTTGCAAAGCCTTCGTTAGTGGGATCCAAGTATACATACATACATATATTTATAAAAAAACTTTAAAATCTTAGCGAAATCGGTTAAACGGTTATTGAAATTTTGTATTGACTTACATTTAAAACAATAAACGAATCTCCGGTATAGAACTTTCCATAGTTAGCTTTTGGGTAGACAACAGGCTCGAAGTTCTGTAAATAAAAATAAAAATAAAATTTTAATGCATGTGTGTACTATCTGTATGCACTCGTATTTGTAAATATGTACATGTGTATGAATATGTACAATATATTAGACCGTACAACGTTACAAACAAAAAAAAGTTCGCCGTACACCCCTGAGTCTAAAGTATTTTTGCAAGGCAGTTAAAAAAAAAAAACATTTTATTTCGCCTAAATCTAGAGGTCGCTTTTACAACTTTTGGTGATAACTACGTTCGACAAAAAATATTTATTAGCTCTACTAGAATAATCTCCTGCAAAGGCTTAATAATTTTCGGTGAGCTTTAATTTACTGATATTAGGGTGACACGTTAGTGTGATAAGAACTGAGATCTGGTGGTTAAGTACTAGAACAGAGTACATGACGACCATGATTTTTGAAATAAAAAAAGCATCTCGAGACAAAAACATCGATATATCGGACTATCGAATGTGAAAATGGGTACAAACTGGGGAAAAATGTAAAAAAGCGATCTCTTCGTTCGGCCATAATATTTTTTTTTTCAAAAGCACACTATAAATTCGAAACGGCGAACTTTTTTCTGGTACAGTCTAATGCACATACAAATGTACGAGTATCTATAGAAGTTAAAAAATAATGCAAAATAATGCTTAGGCGAAATCAGAATTATTAAAAAAGAGTCTCGTAAGTACCTATGTCTATGTATACATATGTATGTATATATACAAGTATATAAATTAATTAATGATTTTATAGATATGTACTTAGAAAAAATAGATTATAATATGTATATAGATATGTACTTAGAAAAATAGATTAGACAATTGTTACCAGTACTTGCAAGTTTTTTCTGGAAATGCATTCATTAACCCAAAAAAATTAGCAAAAGAGTGCGAATTCGTGAGGCTAACAAACAGCAGGAATTCTTGCAAGTAAAAATTTTACCAGCAGGAATTTGCAGGGGTTAAAATATCGGTTCGGCCGAGGCAACGCAATGAGCGGCAAAGCGGCGAGCGCTCAGTGCGTGGCCACTTCAATAGTATGTATTTTATATGTTTTAATTTTAAGCCGCTCGCCGCTTGGCCGCTCATTCTGTGGTCATAAGCAATAACAGCCTAAGTTGAAAAATCTGAATTAGAGAAAAAACGTTTTAAACATTTGGATTGCAATGTTATCCTTGTGGAGAAACCAAAATATATTACTCTATATCTTTGTAGTTGCAGAATACACTCTAAAAACTCTGTTTAAAAATGCGACTATAAATCGAGTATATTTTTGATTATTTTTAAATTTTTTTGGTAAATTTACACGATGAATATGTATTTTTCTCGTTTACACATTTTTGTGTGCAAAAATCTTTTTTGTTAGTGGTTTTACACAATTCTAAGGGTGAAATCAAACAGCAGATGTGTATTTTGTAGCTTGTACACACTTTCTTACTAAATTTACGCACACAGCAGAAGCTATATTACACTATAAAAAGTCCGAAATTTAAACAAACTTTTCGTTGAATAATCGAGCATGTAATTTCGAGAATAATAAGGTAGGAAATCAGTAACCTACCTTTTAGGTAGGAAATCTACACAATTTTTTTTTTAGAGTGTACGATAGCTCAATATAACTCAATTCTTTCTTAAGCCGACTTAATCGGTTATTATTTATGACCATAGATTTTTTTGCCAAAAAGTGGATTTGCTCACCGAAGCCTTATCCATTCGTCCTGAAATATACTAGCCAGAAATGCGATTGCTTTATAAAAGATAGAACCATTTTGAAATATGTGTGTTTTCACTCTCTACAAAATAATTTATGCAACCTCACATTCGCGGTTTTGCATTTTAAACGACGTTATGTATGTACATATGTATAGATGCATTTCTTTAAATGAAATTTATTGCTGTCCATATGTATGTATGTACATTAGGGTGGATTTTTCTAAATGGAAAAAAAGGAAACCCATATTTTTTTTTTTTACCTATAATTAGAACTGCCTCAAAACCCATAAAGTTTTTCATGTATTTTGTATGTAGAAAAATACTTTTTCATAGAAATAGTATAAAATTTTTGAAAAGCTCTGTTTCTCTTCCGGAGACTTCCAATAATAACAGCCACTAATAATTTGTGTGGTTCTCCCATTGGGGTTTTGGGGGACCTATAAATAGTTAACATTAAAAAAAAGGTTAAATAGCATATTGGGTATTATTATTGGAAGAGAAACAGAGTTTTATGATCGAAAAATATTAACTTTATAAAATACTATACCATTTTTACGAATACGTGTTTTCCCCATATAAAATACATAGAAAACAACATGGGGTTTGAGGAAGTTCTAAATATTTTTTCTTCTTTTTAAACAAAAAAAAGGTATCCTTTTTTCCATTTCCATTTTGGACCACACTAATGTATGTACATATGTATGTAAGTTAAAAGCGACAGTATATAAAAAGTCAGTTTCATAAATAACAATATCACAGAATCGTTGAATTATTTTAATATCTATGCAAGAATTTTATGTAGACAAGACTAAAAAGTAGAAAAAAAATCAAATAAAATTTCGATTTAATCCATTTTAAAAAATCGGGGTGGGGTATATGTGTATACATATCTATGTATTCAAGTCTATCACATGTGCCCCACGCTTTTTATTTTAAACCTCATAAACTGTTTATAGTGACTTTTGCTAAACTTTTATGTAAAATCAGAAGTTATCAAAAGAGATTCCATGGGTGTAGGAAAAATTATTTTCTGCTTTTTAGTCCATTTATAGAAATGTTTTAACTACGTTATATCCACTTAGATTGGGCGTTGTTACCACTTTGCGGCAGCTGTCGAAGTTCTATGGCCGGGCGTTCAAATATGTATTAAAATTAAAAAATAAATAAATAAAAAATATTTGTAAATGCAGTTGCCTCCTTTCCACCGATAAAGTGCTTTTCATGTTTTTGGAATACCAAATTGAAGGTGAACCTCGTCCCAACATAGATGATTTTTTCTTACAAGTGCAAACAACCCCACATATTGTCCAAATATATTGGTTTGTATGTAGATATGTATATAATGCCGATAATATTTATTAGCGCATAATTTTTCTTTGATTATTCAACCGAAACCTCCTTTTTAATTAAAAAGATGTATGTGCATTTTGTTTAGCAGTAAAAGTCGCTTTCCGATCATGAACTTATTTCGACAGTGCTTTCTTTGAAGAAATGTTGTTGCATTTTTTATTGGCCTTGTAATTGGAAATTAGCTTATCAGCAGCAATACCGTCAGACATTGCCGATGATACAAGAGCGTGTTGCGTGTATTGATATTTTTTGCATAAACAAATCATTTTTTAAATTTTCTTACAATGCGCCAAACACGCAAGACACATAAGATAATGTACTTATGTGTGTGTGTGTGTGTGTGTGTGCATTAGGGTGGTCCAAAAATGCATGTGAAAAATTAATATCGGAACTTTAANGTTTCTTACAATGCGCCAAACACGCAAGACACATAAGATAATGTACGTATGTTTGTGTGTGTGTGTGTGTGTGTGTGCATTAGGGTGGTCCAAAAATGCATGTGAAAAATTAATATCGGAATTTTAATGCTCTCCTCCCTTGGGATTGTTCTACACCGAAAAAAATTATACCACTATTTTTTTTGTAAATCAAAAAATATTTTGAGGTCGCTCAAAACGTTCAAAGTTTTCCATGGATGTATTTTATATGGGGGAAAATCAATTTTTCGTAGAAATGGTATACAGTTCTTGAAAATCAATATTTTCACTCGGAAAGCTCTGTTTCTCTTCAGAAGACTTTCAATAATAATATCTAATTATTTATTTAACTATTTTTAAATACTAAGGATCTTTTATTGGTTATTGGTTAAATAAACAATTGGGTATTATTTTTGGGAATCTTCCGAAGAGCAACAGAGTTTTCCTTTCAAAAAATTTGGATTTTTAAGAATTATATACCATTTCTACGAAAATATGTTTTCCTCCAATTTTGAGCGGTTTGAGCGACCACTAAATATTTTCGGATTACAAAATAAAAAAAAAACAGGGGTAGAGTTTTTTTTTCGGTATAGAACAATCCTAGGGGGTGAAAGCAATGAAATTACGACTTTACTTCTTATTTGACTACCCTAGTGTACATACATACATATGTGGCAATAAAGAAAATGCGCACTGTTTGGAGAAATGGATACATTAATACATAAACGTCTATCTTTTCTGACAGAAAAATTTAGCCAAGTAGTAAGTAAAAGGGCAAAAAACGAGTAAAAAATTTAAACTCAACTCACCTCGATTCTCCAAATTTCCAAACCAGCCGCCCGACCTGCATTAGCGAATGCGGGATGCATGACGCGGTTTGGTGTGTTCAATTTGCCGCCACTTTGGGGTTGGGGTTGTATTTGGGGCGATTGCACNACTCTGTTCTCTTCAGAACACTTTCAAAAATACTACCTAATTATTTATTTAACCATTTTTAAATACTAAGGATCTTTTAATAGTTCCCCATTGCATTTCCTGGCGTTTTTGGCGGACCTATGATATATAGTTACTATGAAAGAAAATGGTTAAATAAACAATTGGGTATTATTTTTGGGAATCTTCCGAAGAGCAACTGAGTTTTCCTTTCAAAAAATTTGGATTTTTAAGAATTATATACCATTTCTACGAAAATATGTTTTCCTCCAAGTTTGAGCGGTTTGAGCGACCACTAAATATTTTCGGATTACAAAATAAAAAAAAACAGGGGTAGAGTTTTTTTTCGGTATAGAACAATCCTAGGGGGTGAAAGCAATGAAATTACGACTTTACTTCTTATTTGACCACCCTAGTGTACATACATACATATGTGGCAATAAAGAAAATGCGCACTGTTTGGAGAAATGGATACATGCCTGTAGATAAATTAATACATAAACGTGTATCTTTTCTGACAGAAAAACTTAGCCAATATTAAGGAAAAGGGCAAAAAACGCGTAAAAAATTTAAACTCAACTCACTTCGATTCTCCAAATTTCCAAACCAGCCGCCCGACCTGCATTGGCGAATGCGGGATGCATGACGCGGTTTGGTGTATTCAATTTGCCGCCACTTTGGGGTTGGGGTTGTATTTGGGGCGATTGCACACGAAAGGCTGGGAGGCCGGGTAGTAGTACAAGCACAGCCAAAAAGCTGGAAAAATATGAAATATTTTAAAACATATTTAAATCGAGCTGCTACAACGTATTGGAAAGTGCATAACTCTCGCACTCCACAACAAATTTTTCAGGGTTTTGTCGTGTAACTGCGTAAGGCGCGCTGAACCCCTGAAAAACATGTTTTGGAGTTCTGGTCTAAGTNATATGAAATATTTTAAAACATATTTAAATCGAGCTGCTACAACGTATTGGAAAGTGCATAAGTCTCGCACTCCACAACAAAATTTTCAGGGTTTTGTCGTGTAACTGCTTAAGGCGCGCTGAACCCCTGAAAAACATGTTTTGGAGTTCTGGTCTAAGTATTTCTAGTAAAACTTACACTGATTTTCGATATGAACTGTTAGTAAATATTTAATATATTTTTATTTTTTTATTTAATTCGTTAATTTTTTGAGAGAAGCCGAATAAATGAACCATTCAATTGGATTACCTGCAGATCACTGCCATATTTGCCGTCATTTTCACAGCTCCAACCAAATGTTGCCTCAGCGGCTGTTAAAGCTGAGCTTAAGAAATAGTTTTTCCTTCTTTCGAATTGAATTTGTAGCCTCAAGTTGCGATAAATACGAATACTCTCTATTTGGCACGCGGCACTTTATAATCACGCGATGCTCAATGAATTGGTTTTTAGCTAAAACGAGATGAAAGAAAATTATTATAAAACATAAATGCGTATATATGTATATATATAT